TTCGGGCTGATATTACGCGTTTGATGCACAATAAAAGGCAAATCGGACAAAGATATATATGGGAGCTATATCTAAATTTTTATCGATTATCTCCAATTTCAATAGGGGTCGTTCTTGGGCCAAACAAATGATTTGTGCATCTAAATCGGATAATAAATGCGACCTGCATTTTGTTCACAAGAATATATGGACAGACGGACGGACGGGCAGACGGACTGACATGCTTAAATCAACTCAGAAAGTTATTCAATGGAGAAGTATCTATGGGTCTATCTTGCTTCCTTCTCCATGTTACAAACAAATGCACAAAGACATAATACCCTTACCACTATGTGGTGTAGGGTATAAAAGTTGAAGAAGGGGGATCTTGCCATTTCTCCAGGATTAGGTTAGGTTAGGTTAAAGGATGCGTTGGTTTAACAACCACTCCACTCGATGACCCGCTGGTCGATTGTGTTTATCCTATCTGAAAAAGAATTAATAGTAAGAAAAGGAAAGAAGAAGAGGTAAGAAAATAGAGAAGAAGGATAAAATTGGAATAAACAAATTATGATAGTAGAGCTACGCCGTAATTATCGTGTTGTCTTTAGCCATTTGAGTCCTCTGGCTAACTGAAGCATAGCTGCTGGTTCACATTCAGAGAAGGTGGACAAGTCGAGCAGAATTTGCTTACCCAGTAGCTTCTGTCTGACTCCGAAGAGAGTTGTAGGTCCACGTTTTGGTATAGCCCCCATATAACGGTACCTCTCAATGTTCGGTATTTTGATGATTTTTGCGACAATATTTATCGGAATTGTTTCAACTTTGGTATTTAAAGTTTGAAATGAATACTACAGCCTATGACAGAAAATTGTCTGTGCAGGTTCACGTCTTCGTATAGCCCCCATATAACGGTACCTCCCGATATTCGGGATTTTGATAATTTTAGCGACATTATTCACCGGAATTGTTTCAAATTTGGTATTTGAAGTTCGAATTGGATACTACTGGTCTAGGTCTTCGTATAGGCCCCATATATCAGTACATCCCTATATTCGGTATTTTGACGATTCAGACATATTCAGGATTTTTGCGACATTATTTACCGGAATTTCTACGTCTTAGTATAGCCCCTATACAAAGGTACCTCTCTTTATTCGGTATTTTGATGATATTAGCGACATTATTTACCGGTACTGCATAATTTTAGCGACATTATTCACCGGAATTGTTTCAAATTTGGTATTTGAAGTTCGAATTGGATACTACTGGTCCAGGTCTTCGTATAGGCCCCATATATCAGTACATCCCTATATTCGGTATTTTGACGAGTTTAGGTACAACAATACCCACCGAAATTGTTTGAGATGTCGTATTTGAAGTTCGTAATGGATGCTACAGCTAGTGACAGAAAATTGTCTATGCAGGTCCAGGTCTTCGCACAGCTCCGATATAAGGGTACCTCCCTATATACGATATTTTGATGATTTTAGCTAGATTATTCACCGTTTATTTCAAGTTTCGAATTTGAATATGGTAATGGCTTATGACAAACAATGCCTATGTAGGCCCACGTCGTATACACCTCAATATAACGGCTATATTTGGTATATTTAAAATTTTAACAGAATGTTTTAATGATTTTATTTTCTGAAAATTTCCAAATTCGTTCCAAATGGTGGAGGGTATTCAAAGTTCGGCCCGGCCGAAAATACTACTTTTTAACTTGTTTTGATTATTTTAGTCCCATTTTTCAATGGCATTGTCTGAAATTCTACACAGGGAGTTCTCTGTGAGTATTTTTTTATAGGTCCACGATATAGTATAGCCCCCATATAATGGTGCCGCCCGATATTCCGTATTTTGATGATTTTAGCCATATTATGCAATGAAATGGTCTGAAAATCCACACAAGGAGTTTTCTCTGAGTACTTTACCCCCTGGAAGAGAATTGTCAATATGGGTCTACGTTTTAGTATAGCGCCTATAAAACGCTAAACCGAGATATTCGGCATATTCAGGATTTTTGCGACATTATTTACCGGAATTTCGTCAAAAGAAAAATGTCTATGCAGGTCCACGTCTTAGTATAGCCCCTATACAACGATACCTCTCTTTGTTCGGTATTTTGATGATATTAGCGACATTATTTACCAGCATTGTTTCGAATTTCATATTCGTAGTTCAGAATCGTTACTATGACAGAAAATTACCTATCGAGCACCACGTCTTCGCGTAGCCTCCATGTAAAGGTTTTTATTCAAGCTGTATTTTTTGACGGATTTTTTTCTGAAATTTTCAAGTTCCTTCTGAATGGTGAAGGGTATAAAAAATTCGGTTCGGCCGAGCTTTTTACTTGTTTTTTAATTGTTTTAATTTAACATAGTTCATATGAATCGGTAAGTCGAGATAATAGTTGAGTGTCATCACAATGTCGATTAATATGAAGAAGCGTTTCAAAGATCTCAAGGCCATATGAATGAGCCACCTATTTTTTATTAAATTACTTTAAGCTTAAGTTAACGTACCACCACTAAATAATGACCCCTTTTTTTCTTCATTCCCCACACCTTCACACAGCATGCTGTAACCCTGCCTTCTGGCTACAATTGACCACATAAACTGTGAATTAAATAGAAAAGCAATCATGTAGAAAGAAGAAAACAAATACTTGTTTGGTAGAAGAAAATTGCTGTCACCCTCCGGTATGATTTCAGCAATTCTGGGGTTAGGCGAAGATAAAAAGATATACCACAACAACAAAGATGTGTAAATCCTTTTACAGGCCATAATATGAACAAATGTTGGCAATACCACCGGCAGCTACAACTTAACGCTTTCACAAAAGTCAATGGTCAATGTCAGCGACAAACACAATGGGAAAATGATATGACAAACCATGTATCCTTTTGTTGTTCTGTTTTGCAATTGAATTGATCCTTAGGGCGCCAGTTACGCTGACCTCACATGAAATCACACACTTGCTATGTATGTAGGCAAGTGTTTTTTACTGTTTACTTTGGTTTTATTTCCCCTCTCCCTCCTCCGTGAGGTTGGATAGTTGCTATTTTATTGTTACGACTTTTGCTACTGTTATTGTCTTTTCCGATAACTTAATTTATGTGGGACCCAAAGACAAGGATGTTCTTTAAGAATGTTTGTGAATGCGTGTGTGTGAGGTAACTAGCCTAAGGCTATATCATAACTAAGACATCATTTCTAACTTTAATACCTTGGGCTTTTTTTATTTGCCTTTCCGCCACGTCCTGTTCTTTAAACGTGGTGTCCGTTTTATGTTAGCAGTTATTCTTTGTCACAATTCTGTTTAATTTTCTTCTCATCCCAACAAGTGTTGCGGATGTTAAATATTTAATAGGTATACCAAAGAAATTCATTCTTTTCTTCAGAACTAACCACTTGTTTTGATGATGATGAAAAGTTTTCTTCTCCAGATTTGACTCACCAACACCATCACACCATCACCATCGATTCCGCTCCCAACCATACGAATATCCATTCATGTATTCATTGATGCAAGAAAGTTGATGAAGGTAAATGTTAAAAAACAACTTGAGTGGAGACGAAAACAAACCACCTGGCCTTCTAAGAGAAGACCATCTGGCCTTCTAAGAGAAGACCACCTGGCCTTCTAAGAGAAGATCACCTGGCCTTCTAAAAGAAGACTACCTGACCTTGTAAGAGAAGCCGCATGGCCTTCTATGAGAAGACCTACTTGCTTTCTATCAGAAGACCTTTTTCTTCTAATAGAAGTCCACCTGGCCTTCTATCAGAAGATCACCTGGCTTTCTATCAGAAGTCCTTTTTCTTCTAAGAGAAAACCACATGTCCTTCTATGAAAAGACCACCTGGCCTTCTAAGAGAAGACCACCTGTCCTTCTAAGAGAAAACCACCTGGCCTTCTAAAAGAAGACCACCTGTCCTTCTAAGAGAAAACAACCTGGCCTTCTAAAAGAAGACCACCTAGCCTTCCAAAAGAAGATCACCCGGCCTTCTAAAAGAAGACTACCTGACCTTCTAAGAGAAGCCACCTGGTCTTCTATGAGAAGACCTTCTAGCCTTCTACGGGTAGGCCTTCTGGCCTCCTATGAAAAGACCTTCTGGGCTTCTTTGAGAAGACTTTCTGGTCTTTTGTGTGAAAACCTACAGGCTTTCTATCAGAAGATATTCTGGCCTTCTATGAAAAGACCTTCTGGTCTTTTACGTGAGGTTCTTTGGACCGTCTATGGAAAGATCTACTAGCTTTCTATCGGAAGTTAATCTGGCCTTCTATGAAAAGACCTTTTCACCTTTCATGATAAGACTTTTTAGTCTTCTATGATAAGACTTTTCAGTCTTCTATGAGAAGACCTTCCAGTCTTCTATGAGAAGGCATTCCTGTCTTGTATGAGAAGGCCTAAAGCTCTTCTATGAGAAGACCCTTCAGTCTTGTATAAGAGCTTCTATGAGAAGACCTTAAGATCTTTTATGAGAAGACCTTAAGCTCTTGATTTTTTTGGGGTTCCATAAGAAGAACTTCTGACCTTTAATGAGATGACTTTCTGGGATTCAATTAGAAGACCTTTCGCTTATGGGAAGACATTTTGGTCTTGTGGTTACCTTAAGCTCTCCTATGTGAAAGCCTTTCTGAAAGGTATAATTTCCCATTCTGAGAAGTCTTATATCCTTATTCTATTAGAAGGCCTTTTGGGTCTTTTGTGAGAAGGCCTTAACTTCCTTTATGAGAAGTCCTGAATGTCTGCTCCTGCTTTTCTATAAGAATTCCTTTTTGGGCTTCTATAAACAGATCTTCGAATTTTCTGTAAAAAGTTTTGTTACTGGTCTCGGAAGAGGCCTTTTACTCTACCTTAACCTTCTCCTCCTCACTTCATTCTTTTTTATCGCTTTAAGTAAACACATTTTTCTCCGGTTTAAAATGTTTAATTTAAGGTTTTAGAGATTTATTATCCTATTTAGGTTTAGTAATGAATTTCATTATTTCAATTATTCTTCTTCTTGTTTTCTTTGCAGTTTTGCAATTAAACAACGACACGTGCCATAATTACAGCAAATATAAAACGTGTTTCCTGCAGAAGGCCAAAACTTCTCAACATATGTTTCCGATGAAGTACAAAGGACAATTGACAAGGAAGCTTCCACGAAACCAAGGCACATTTAATAGAAATCAGCAACAAGAACACCTGACAACCAAACGATGGCCAATCAAAAAGACGATGAAAAAACTCTTCAACAAATGTCAAATGAAATTGCATCAAAATATTATGGAAACATTAAATTAATTCCGGTGAATTTATTGGCCCTACAGAAGGCATCGGAAAAGAAACCAAAATAATTTGAAAAATATGAAATACTTTTATGTGTGCGGAAAAAAACTACCAAAGTCCGAACAGCCATTAAATTGAAAAGTTTCCTCAGTAATGGAAATGAAACAAAAAGCGGTTATCAACACTTGAATGAACTTTTTAATTATCAGCAAGAAAAAAATCGGACTTTTCCCTTTGGAATTGTTAACGAGAGAAATAAATACCATTTAGTTTTACGCAAAGAAAGGAATTCCAAAAATCATTATAACCAAAATCATTGGACTACTGCTGTATGCTTTTGTGTGTGTTTGTGTCTGTGCGTAAATTATTTAAATTTGTTTAACACACAAAATTTGCATAAGTTTGTTTTGGGGTCCCTCCAGAAGAACCTGAAAACGGCAAACAGCCAATTGCAAAGTTTAACCAAAACAATTAACTGTTTTGCATTTGAAAACGACAAAATCCTGTTAATCATTCGCCGCCGAGAATAAGCAAAATAAAAACCCCCCATCATCATCTCAGAACCTGCCTTCCCCATTCACCACCCACACCATGTCAGAGTTTCGTTTCTTTGCCGTCACGGATTTTGAATACAGTTACAATCGTTCGCAGAACTTATTAAATCTGCCCTTTGCCCCCTTCCAGCCCACCCGCCGCACCACCACCGATGAAATCTCAACCGAACTGAATGTCCCCTATGCCGTGTTCGAAATACTCGTTGCCATATGTGCTGTCATCGGTAATTTGATGGTGATTGTGGTGTTCCAGCGCGAAAGGAAATTACGCCGTCGCACCAACTATTACATTGTCTCATTAGCGATAGCGGATTTTTTGGTTGGTTCGCTGGGTGTTCCGTTTGCAATTTTGGCCTCTATTGGCCTGCCAACAAATTTGCATGCCTGCCTTTTCACCATGTCGCTGCTGGTGGTGTTGTGCACAATTTCGATATTTTGTTTGGTGGCCGTCTCCGTTGATCGCTATTGGGCCATATTGTATCCGATGGCATATTCGCGAAATGTGCGGACAAGAACGGCAATAGGTAAGTTCATTGTTTAATGAAGTTTATGATGGGGAAGGGAGAAGAAAGAATGTTATTAGCGGGGACATTTATAATGGTTCACAGTATTTGAGAGTTCACATACGCAACGGGGACAGGTTATGTGTTAAAAAATTATATCTAATTTTTCACGAACATGAAATGCATTATTTATAAAATGGTAAAATATCTGTATATATAAAAGAGTAGTAAAATATCTGACTAACTAAAAATCAACGTCAGGCGAAACGGTAGAAGTTAAAATCTTGAAATGTTGCACGAGCGTGTTATGAGGTAAAGGAATTAAAAAAAGTACTAAAAATTGAATAGTTTGTATTGTAGAATTTAAAAATTCGAATGGGAGTCACTGAGGGTTGCTTCGCTTGGCCGATGAGAAAACATTCGTTGTCCTGCAGTTTATAAACAAACAAAATGATCGTGTTTACTTGCCAAAGAGGTCAGCACCTTCGGTTGGCCACCAGAACTCAAGCGCCGGCCAAGGTGATGGTGTGGGCCGCCATAACAGCCGATCGTCGCTCTCCGCTCGTATTAATCGACCGTGGCATCAGAATAAATGCCGAATATTATCGCGAAAATATTCTGGAGGGTGTATTAAAGCCACGCAAACATTTGGCCGCAGAACTTGGACATTTCAACAGGATTCAGCACCATCGCACTCAGCACACGCCACCCAAGAATGGTTACAAAATGAGGTTCCTCGCTTCATTTCCAGCGCACAATGGCCACCAAAATCTCCGTATACCAATACTTTGGACTATTGTGTCTGGAGTATTTTGGAAAGTAGGGTTGACACTTAAAAAATACCAAAGTGTCGATCACCTCAAGCAAGCGCTTCGCCGGGAATGGGCCGAAATACCGGAGAGCAACATTCGGGCAGCGTGTGACGGTTTCAAGGCCATAATTCGTGCCAAAGATGACCAATTCGAACAAATCCAAACTTATTCTAAAATTTGATGCTATTTCCGACATATTTTGCTTTCATTCGATTAAATTTAAAATAAAATTCTATAAAATTGTAAAAATTATGGCGTTTGACTTTGTTCCATTTTTTATCTCACCCTGTATATGCTGGATCAACGAAAAATTCTAAGACGATTTAGCGATGTCCGTCTGTCTGTTGTAATCATGCTATCTTTCGAACGAATTGATATAGAAGGCTACAATTGTCCGTATATGCCTATTTTCCCAGCAGGCTGGCTAAGTCCTCCACGTTTTCGTATAGCTCCCATATAGCGGTACCTTCCGATATTCGGTATTTTGATGATTTTAGCGACATTATTCACCGGAATTATTACAAATTTCGTATTTAAAATTCGTAATGGGTACAGCTTATGGCAAAAAAATCGTATTCGTATAGCCCCTAATAACAGTACCACCCGATATTCGGTATTTTTATGATTTTAGCGACATTATTCACTGGAATTGTTTCAAATTTCGTATTTGAATTTCTTTGTGGGTACTACAGCCTATGACAAAAAATGTCGTATGCAGGTCCACGTCTTCGTATAGTCCCCCATAACGGTTCTCGGATTGTTTTTTTTTTTTTTTTTAATAAAATTCCTTCCAAATGGCGGAAGGTATACTTAATTGTTTTTTTAATTTTACAAAAGTTATTAGTATTCACATTTTGAACTTTTTGGGGGCAGCTATGAAAAGCAGTTGGGCAATAATTTTTATTTTCGCTCCCGACTTAAGTCTGGTAAAAATATTATCACGAGCAAACAATGGACTTTATCGGTTAGTCAATTCGTTATATAAATTTATACATATTTTTTCACGAAATTTTGGTGGAAGAGGAACAAGAATGAGGGAACGAATACTGTCCATTTTCACCTAACCTGTTGACTCTTGTAGGGGATGTTCCAGAAGAAGTGAACTGATTTCGCCAATTTTCGCACCAGGCTTAAGTCTTATTTAACCGAACTCGAACTCGACCTAGGTTTAGTATAAAGTTTGGACAAGACGATGTTTGCATAAATAGATAGATATTTTTGCATATAAAATGATATATTTGACCTTTTGTGAGGGAGGTTTCACAAGGAAACAATATTTTCCGTTTATAAAAAACCTAAATTTGATGGAAACAGTGTGATGTTGGAAGTTGGGAATATAAAAAAAGCGACCATTAAATCAACGACCACTTTTTTAACGACTGCGGAAATGAGACTGCAGCTCAAAGTTCGAGAGATAGATAATCCAGATCACTAACCCCAAGATCCAAAGAGTAACACATGACAACGCTCAATCATTGCTATATTTGTATTGAAGGAATCAACAGGCAAAAATCGAAAGCAAATGTATCCACCACATTCGTCCAATCAACATATATTTGTGATAAATTAACAATTAAGGGAAAGATCCTCAATGTACCATCCGACCGACAACTTCCTGTTCTCTTATTAAAATAAATTAGACTATTGTGATATTCGTACTGAACCGAAGTAATAAATTAAATCACGTCTTTACGGTTCCGCACCATTAATTACATCTGAAAAAATCCGGCTGCTTAGATTAATGAGAATAGTTATGATTCAATTCGTATTGAGAACGGCTTTAGAAAATGTACAAAAAATAGTCGAAAAATTCTCAGAATTCAAAAATGTTGGTCAGAGATTCTCATATTGTTGGAAGCTATATCTTACTGACATAATACCATATTTCTAACATTTTTGCATAATCCTCCACCACTCGCAAAAATTATAATATTATCTGTAACTAACCTCTGAGTCACTGTGGTGAAAGGAAAAATATTACAACTTTTTATGAAATTTTCCAGAAGCTAAACAAAAAACTTAAGACATCCACTTACATGTGCATTTAAAAATATTTGGTGAATCAGCCAGACATTCCATACCAGCTAAACTACAACGCCGGCAAGCCTCTCTTGCAAATGACAAGCCTTTCAGTTTTTTTGCAACAACAACGACGACAACGACGATGGCGATGACAAGAAGAACTTAATCAAATTGGTCAAGTACTGTGACCACCCACCATTTTAAGTAGAGACAACGCTAATTAAAAAATAACAATGAAAACTAAATGTTTAACTTTATTAAGTTATCCTCGTGTGGTTGTTGTTGCTGATACTACTACTACTGTTGGTGGTGGTCATAATAGAGTAGCATAAAGTGGAACGTCATCATGTGAATGCAGCAAAAATGATTAGACATCTAAAAATATAGGACAGTCGTTTAAAAAAAATATATGGTATTTCTGCTGCCACAGAAAGTATTAACCGGCGCAAAATCCAAATTCTGAATTTGAAATAATTCCTGTGAAAAATGTGTATAAAATCATGAAAATACCGAATATCTGAGGGCAACATTCTGGGGACACAACTTGGCAATTTACAGCAAACTTGGGTTAGAATCCTGACAACAAATATAGAGGCTATACGAAAACATGGGCAAATTTTCAATAGCAAAAGTTCTACGGACCTAAAAAAAACATCTGAGCAAAAAAAAATTTTTATACCCTCAGCCATATGGCTACAGAGGGTATATATCATTTGATACGGTCAAAACGTGCCTAGTCGAAATGATGGTTTTAGATCCTAGGTCTCTTTGGACCAAATACGTTTCAGAACATTTCGAGTCGATCTACCGATGTCCGTCCGTCCGTCCGTCTGTCTGGCTGGTGCGCACGATAACTCTCGAAGGGAGTATCCGATTTGATCCAAACTTGGTACATAGTAATATTTTTGTCAAACTTAGATCGACTTCGGAGATAGGCAATATCGGTCCACTCCTTCTGGTACCTGCCACACAAAATGTCAAAAATTTCAAAGAAAATAATTTATTGCACAGAAAGAGAAAGGATAATCCGATTTTGCTCGAACTTTGCGAATCCTAATATTTTCATCAGTGCTAGGTCAAGTGCGAATATGGACAATATCGGTCCACTCCATCAAGTACCTCCCCCACAAAGGGTCAAAATTTTGAATAATTACAACTCTTATAAAATGTGATGTAAGAGTCCGATTGTCTTCAAATTTCACCCATCCCAATAATTTGATTAGCCCAAGGTCTGGTGTTAAGAGGGAATACATCGGTCCACTCCTTTTGGTACCTCACCCACAAAAGGTCGAAATTTTCAAAAAAATATATATAAAATATATTTTTTGCACAGAAAGAGAAACAGTTACCCGATTTTGCTCTAACTTTGCAAATCCTAATATTTGCGTCAGTGCTAGGTCAGGTGCTAAAATGGACAGTACCGATCCACTCCATCAAGTACCTCCCCCACAAAGGGTCAACATTTTGAATAATTTTAACTCTTATAAAATGTGATGTAAGGATCCGAACGTCTTCAAATTTCACACATTCCAATATTTTTATAAACCCAAGATATGCTGTTAACATGGGATGTATCGGTCCACTCCTTCTGGTACCTCCCCCGCAAAGTGTCGAAATTTTGAATACCCATAAAGCTCATAAAACGCCACATTAAGATCCGATTCCATTTAGACTTCGCACATCTCAATATTTCTATCAACACAAGATCTGTTATAAAGGTGGTATAGATCGAACCATTTCTCCTGGAACCTACCCCATACTTAGGGTTCAAGATTTTGAAAAACAAAACGCTCAAACAAAGCGAAATAAGCATCCAAATCTCTTCAAATTTCACACATAAAAATATTTTTGCTAAAACAAGATCTGTTATGAAGTTGATACATATCTGCGAACGCCTTCTGGTATTTCACCTACAAAGGATCACAATTTTCAATATTTTTATCTGTCATAACCTTCGAAACAATTTAGCAATTCTTTACTACTTGCTATGCTCAAATATTTCTCTGATATGAAGATGACATTTATCGGAATTTACGATTTCGCATAAAATTGGACATAAATATCCTTTCTTGTAATTTAGCCCAATATATTTCGCCCAATATTTTTTATTTGTAGCAGATGAAGTATAAAAATGGAATATTCTGGTGGACTCTATATGGTACATCACGCACACTTTAATATTTTCTA